GTCATAAACCATATTCATGACTCTAAAAAATATCTTCATTATATTTCTGATGCTTTGAAACTCTTCTTACTGATTTAAAGGCTTGCAAGATTAGATACTTTCCTTGCGATATCCTTACACTCATAGTTTATGGTATCATTTCATATTCATTCTTTCATCTAGCTCACACCAGTCCACATCACATCTTTTATAATATCGCTCACACACTATTTTAACATCATCGTCAACTTTTGTTCTAAAAGAGGCTTTAAAGATTCTTTTCATTTTTATTCTGTTAACCCTCGAAATATACTCTTTCACATTCTATAAAACTGCCCTTTCGAAACTTCATAACTGTAAACGTCCTATATTCTGATTAGATTATAAACGCTAACAGTTTAAGGATAAAAGATGCAACATTTAACATAATGTGGCTTAGCCAAAGCGCCATCTATGTGTCAAAATAAGTGATGTATTATGTGATTTCGCACAATCGCTTCTTAAACTTGCATTTTTTACTATTTGATTATTTTATTGTAGATAATCAATTGGGAGCATTATCTTTATTTAAAATGTACAAGTCAACTGTTACAATCTAAGATATATATGTATTAGTATGTATTAGTAGTATAATCGCATTTAGCGAACTCAATACTGAGAGCTTCACGGAATTTGCCTAAATAATGAACGCCACTTTGAAGAGTATGACCTGGTCGACGATTGTGGCTGTCGCTTTATTCCTGCTACTTATATTGGTAACCGTAATTGGGAATATGCTTGTCATATTATCAGTCCTAACAACGAGGAGACTGCGAACCGTCACGAATTGCTTCGTAATGAGCTTAGCCACCGCCGATTTGCTGGTGGGCATCTTCGTAATGCCACCGGCAGTTGCCTTGCATGTCATTGGTAAGTACATATCCCTATTTGACTTAATTTGAACATGAAATGCGCTTCACATTTTGCTAGTATAAATGAGGAAGCCTCGGATATGCGTTACTTTGCATATTATATAATTCATTTATGAAGAAACAATTTGAGGAAGTTTTGGTTTGTGGACTCCTTCTATACATCGTGAAAGGATTTTCTGCGCTCTCTTGTAATTTGATCAAATTTTGCTGCGTAACGGAATTATATAAACAATTTGTGCTACGCCAAAAAAATAGTCGCTAGCCAAAGGCAACGCAAAATGTAATTACATGCTTTTATGATTCCCAAAATGCCAGGTATTAAAACTTTTTTCTTAAAAGGGTAAAGTTTTCACAAGCAAATGGTCAAATTAAAAAAAAAAAAAAAAAAAATGTAAAGCCGAATGGTCCCTCAAAGCATATACGTAGATGCAGCAGATAGATACTATGGCATAATAGGTATGCGTGTTGTTTTAGATGCCCAACAAATGCGGTTGAAGTTGCCTAAACAAAAACTTTGCCTTTGCACGTCCTTTTGTGTGTTGGGAGAAACAATTTTAGTTTTGCACAATTTAACAATGTTGGACATACTTTGAAATTGTTGAGCCTGGCGTGTAAAAGTCTGAATAATCTAAAGGTCGTCGGCGGCACGGAGTCATCGGAGCCAATAGCGGATGGGGTGGTCCGGGTTTGGTTAATATTCTGCTTTAACTTACTTAATAGTTCACTAACCTTATAATACAGCGAATGCATCAAGTGTCTACTTGGCCTTAAAGCTCGGCACAGAGACAATAATTAGATCTGGCACCCATTGAAAATCGCATTTCAGGGTATATTGATTTTGTAGGAACATATGTAACAGGATGGGAACAAATAGACGTAATATTATATAGAATATATAATAGATGTATTCATTTATAGTCATACATGTTCATATACATTGTCTTACATATACTAAGTATTTATTAAATTCTGTTAATGCCCCAATTTCATATAGCAGGAATTATTAAGTTCTTTTTAATGCATTGACTCTTTTACTTCCACCACATAGAGGCTTTCATATATCACATATGTGGGTATAATAGCAACTTGGGAGGTCAAGGTATATCTGGGTCGGGCATTTCTGACTAGAGTGGCTTGTCCCTTTTTTATTAATTCATACTCTATGCAGGCTCATGGCAACTTGGCTGGGTACTCTGCGATGTTTGGATCTTCTTTGATATTTTGCTGTGCACGGCATCCATTCTAAGTTTGTGTGCCATAAGCTTGGACAGGTGAGTAACGAAGCAATGTTAATTTGTTGTAGCCAAGTCTCTGAAGAACATATTTCATATTTTGTAATTACATTATACGTGTGCATGTACGAGCATGTTCTCTCTTGACTTTCGCACGAGTTAATGACTAATGAAACTCGTCCACCTACCTAGGCAAACAGTCCCTTCATTTTTATGCCGTGCGTTAATTTGTCGGTATGGAAAAAGAATGTAATTCACTGCCATGACGTCATTGGCGCATAAAAAGGTGAAAATACCGTGCAAAAATATTTTATTGACCCATTCTGTGCGAGTCGTTTAAAGTGAACTATAACGCGGAGTGGGCGAAGGCTACAATAGTGCAGAGCTGCCTCCCCCTCCAATAAGTGACGAATGGGCGAATGGGCGAATGGGCGGGCGGACGCCTGTATATATGTATGTGGTTACATATACATACCTATATATATTTATATATGTATATAGAGGTCTGGTTTCTTTTGTTGAAAGTTTCAATTACATTTAAATGGCATTTCCGAGTTGTCGCCAAGCTGCGCTGTTTGCTAGGGACGTTTGTCAACAGCTTAATACACAATACGCTGCATGGTTTTTGTTTTCATTTACTCGATTTCATTTTTTATATTTTGTTTCATTTCTTATTTCTCATATTGCTTTATACTTAGGTATCTTGCCGTGACACAACCGTTGACATATTCGAAAAAATGGCGCTGCAAGCGATTGGCTTTGTTAATGATTCTTGGAGTTTGGATCGTAGCATTTATAATAACGTGTCCCCCAATGTTTGGCTGGTGAGTATACATACATATGTAAATATATAACGATGTAGCTTTATTTTATTTCACAAATAAATATTCTTCTCTTTCGATCTTGTTCCTAGGTATGAACCAGGCCGAAATCGGTATGAAGGTGAATCCGTTGACTGCCGCTATAATCAGAATAAAGGATATGTCGTTTACTCGGCCATGGGCTCGTTCTTCATACCTCTCACCATCATGTTATATGTTTACGTCAAGATTGGCTTTGTACTGACCTCGAGAAGACAACGAATCGTAAACGATGCAGTATGTAACCTCTTTTATATATACCCCTCTTTATATTCATTTTCATTCCGGCAGAATACGGAACGCACCGCAGATCATGATGTGGATGGCGATAATTTTGTATCTGAAGCGGAGCTTTACCGCTGCAATCCACACAAATGCCTGCCGAGCTGTGAGGCGCGTTGCAGCGTCATAGGATCTCATGTGAATCCCATATTTGGGGCGAACAACGTCAAGTGCAGCAAATGCCAGGAGGCAAGAGTTGGCGATAAGCGGAAAAAGTTTAAGCATCAGCCGACCTTCTATGAGCTGGTAGAGGTTTCGCGCATGTCCTCGCTGATGCACTGCTCCGTGGACAATTGCCGGTATCATGCCAAGTGCAGCTCGACCTTGTCCATGCCAGCTCTGTACTACAAGGAGAGTCAGTGCATGGCTGACAAGTCCATGGAAATGCCGAATGGTAATCAGATGGGAGCCAACCGGGCGTCCACCACGTCCCACCAGATGCAGCGGCAGCTAGCAAGTCATCGCATTCCCATGCGCGTATCGACCAAAATTCAAAATAGCAAAACGACCAAGACTCTCACCATTGTCATGGGAGGCCTAATCGCATGTTGGACACCGTTTTTTACTTTATACATCCTTGTGCCCTTCTGGCCGCAGCTGAAAAAGCTCGAGGGTCTCATGACGTTCCTCATATGGGTTGGCTGGGTGAACTGCGCCATTAACCCGTTCCTTTATGCCTTTAATCCGGACTTCCGAGCTGCGTTCTGGCGCCTCACATGTCGGCGAATCTGCAAGCAGAAACTGGCCCAAAACCATATAAATATGTTTCGTGCGTAAGCCCTTAAGCCCTCCCGGATTGAAACACATTTATTTGGGTGTATAATAATTGATTAGGAAGTCCACAATTTTTATTTGAATTTGAAACAGATGTAAGAGCACGTAAAAAATAAATAGATTTATTTAAAGCCTTTATGTGTGTTCTTATTATTAGCACTAAAACAAAGTTACAATCTAAAATGGATTATAATGATTGATATTCAGCACGAGGCCCGCGTTGCCTGTACCAAAGCAGAATAAATAATACAAAATATATAAATGAAATTGGCCAACTCGATGGAACCCCAGAGAGGGTGTCAGAAGCTAATTCGATCTTGCCATGATTGTAGTTTGATTTGACCTTTCTCATCCTTACATCTCCCAAATTATATAATATCTAATCTTTGATTACATCTTGCAGGAATCAATTTTGGCATTTAGACTTAGCTTAATAATACGCATAGAATTAGAAGACATAAGAATTTCCTCATACTCACATCCGAACTATAATCCTATAATCCTAGTTAATAGTCCAATGGGACTATTTCCTCCCTTTGTAAATTAATTGAGTTTAAGCTTAAAGCCATAACAAAAATGAAAGGTCATCATAATTACGTAATCCCGTTTGGTTGTATATCTGTAGGTTTTACTATGGTGGCACTGTGCAAGGATTACTGAAGAGGAGGTCTCCAACTAATTAAAACACAAACTCTTTTCTGAAGTTACTTCTTGCACTGACATCATTTTCGCATTACATTTTATTTAAAAATATATTCGAATTGTAGTTTGATAAATGTTAAACAACATTTTCTCAGGTGAGCTAAAGGACTGCAGGCAGCTCTTACCTCCTTACTGAATCATATACAGAAATGATGGAGAATTGTAGTTAGCGTTTCGGATATGATGTCATATATAGGTCTATATGAATCCGTAGCGAGAAGTGTTGTAAAATATCTAAATATTATCTTACTTCGGAAAGCTATTTTTATTTTGATATATTATTTATATTTCCAATGGAAACTGTTTGCTCGACGTCTAATGTTGTAAATGTTGTTAGGGTTTAATTAAGGCTAAATCACAATTAAAAGTGTAATAAATATTTATGTACATCTAATGGGTAGAGCTGGAATACTACACTGCTTCTATTGGAAGTTACTATGTGAATGCAACATCTTATCATAATCAGATGCCGAAAAGTGTATAGGTACTGGATTGCTACTAATATATGCCTATATGTATGTGTATAGTTGTATATATATATATATGCTAAGTGGGTAATTGATTCAGTTTAGTGTAGCATTTGCACTATTCTATGCTGTTGTGATTTACCTTCGTGGCAGAAGTCTGGCTAATACTTATKGCCATAATAATAATAGGGTATTAGCTGCTATATTTTGATGATAATATTTGTTTACCCAAAAATATTCCTCAGCGCAAGCTGCATACACTTAATTTAGATTATTTGGTGAAAATCAGGACCAGAGTCCTCAGTTTCCATTTGCATTTTGTAGCTGTATGATCTAAAAGCAATATTGGTATTCGCACTGGAAATGACGCGATGTCGCCAAATCCAATTTCTAATTTCACAGGTTTTGTGGTTTTGAGGTTACGACACGCCCATTAAGCCGCCTATCGCCTAATCGACATTGTGTTAGCGGGAAACTGTGGTTTCTGCTCGTCACTCCAAAATCGCTTGCAGGTCAGGCGCCAAAAGGCCGCCCGAAAATCGACACTGTAGAATGCGTATATGAATGGATTGATGGCGCTGTTGAACCAGCCCAGCCAGGTGAGGGCATTGGTCAGGGTGGCACTGACCTGGTCCTCGGCCAGGAACGGGGTTATCAGGTAGTAGACAAAAAACGGTAGCCAGCACGCAATGAAGCCCCCAACGACAATGCTTAATGTTTGGGTTGTTTTGTTTTCCTTCTTGAGAGATGTAATGCGGTTCGACAGCGACTTGATATTGGTTGTTGTGGTTGCTCCAGCATCCGCTCCTCCCGGCCCCGCGCTCTGATGCTGATGATGGTGGTGGTGGCTACGCAGCCTGTCCCCACCACTTACACTGAGATGCGAATGCCGAAAACTGTGGGCGCGTGGCTTCTGTTGTTGTTGTTGTTGTTGTGTTTGATGTTGCTGTGGGTTTTGCATTTGTGCGTGTGTTTGCGTTTGTGATTGCGATTGCGATTGGGTTTGCCACTGCGCATCTAACAAACTGCAGCTGGGACCCATACCACTTGTCATTGTGGTTATTGTCGTTGAAGCGGTGGAAGTGCGCTTCAGCGACAATGAGGACGGCCGCGTCAGTTCATAGCAACTGCTCTTGCCACTGCCGCAATGGGGCGATGGCAGAGCTAACAGAGACTGACAATTCCCTCCAGTCGATGGCACTCCAAAGTTGTCGCTTTCGCTAAGCACAATCTCCTGGAGATCCTTGGAGAGTGTTTGGTTGGAGAACGTTTGTGTGTGTGTCTGTTTGTTCCTATAGCCCATACTGTGATCCTGCTCGGAGTAATCATTCTCCACATCGGCGGCCGTGTAACGCTTGAATTTCTGATTTAGAGAGAAATAAGTTCATAGCTCATTAGTACTGAGGAGCTTGCTGAAGGGAAATGCCATTGACGGTATGCATTGCTCAATATTAATGTTTGCGAAATGATGATAATAGTATTAGTAATAATATTACTATTAATAATATTGTGTATCACAATATGCATGTAAACTGATGAGTGTGCTTATATTCTGCTGTATGCTATTTGCTTACCTTATTGTGAATATGGATGTCCGTCATGTTGTCGTGTCTTTTTGCAATCACACAGGAAATCTTAGCATAAACATAAATCATGACTGACATTGGTATGAAAAATGAGCCCATTGCTGAGAAGATGACATAGCCTTCGTTTTGATTGTAACGACACTCTCTGAGGTCTCGACGACCGGGCTCATACCTAAAGAGAAATATATTGCACATTCGAGTGTGTTAGAAAATCAGTATGCATTGCATTCGAAATTTGCAATAATAAATAATAAATAATAAATAATAAATAATAAATAATAAATAATAAATAATAAATAATAAATAATAAATAATAAATAATAAATAATAAATAATAAATAATAAATA